TTTCCCGGTTTTCTTTGTTATATTTTCTTCAAAATTCAGCTGCAAAGAATTCGACTCCGATGTGTTGAGCTTTTGGTGAACTCAGGCTAAAGCAATCTACACTCAATGCAGTCCAGCAGCTTCTAGCCAATGAAATAATTTCATTTGGTCATAAAAATAAAATTCTGCCACCTGCCGCTTCTTCTGGATCAAACCAAGAGCCTTTGTCAGACGGGGGTGCCGCACTAGCTATGATCAGCCCAGTTCTGTTAGCTCTACGCCTGCCGAAGACACAGACGTCCATCCCCGTGAACACTGGGACGCAACTCAATGGGAAAGGAAAGGATTCTGGTTTCAACCGTTGCGTATATTAGCTGCGACACATGAATCAAGATGCTATGACCGAAAACATTTGATTGACAGATGAGCGTTGATATATGATTGGCCGAATTTAGGTGTTCAGGCTGACGTAGAACTAACTGGCCTGCAGAAGATAAGGGGAAAAAGAAAATACAGATTTTAAGACAGGACTTTTTTAAAGCAGGAATGTTCTAAATTTTGGGACAATATAAAATAAAATATATAAGATAAAGAGCACGTTTATATACATGTTTAAGCCAGAATGATTTGACATTTAAATATGATTTCCCTACGACTTTGAAGAATATTTTTTAGGAAAGTAAATGAGGTGAAATTAAAACTTTCTGGATTATATACCAGACTGACAGAAGAAAGTCTTCCATCTTCATTACAATTACAATCTTGGAATAATTCCTGCCCTAAGTGAGTCGTTCTGTCAGCTAAAGGCACATTTAAGAGTCTCTATACTCCATTTAATAATTAATCGATTATTAAATAAGTTGATAATTATTTCAATAATTGATTAATCTGATGGTTTCAGCCCTAATGAGTGCTTATTTCCAAAGACTATCGTCTCCACTTTGCATATAGTGTCATACTGAAAAAGATCCTTTAATTAGATGAAGCTAAATTTGAAACCTCAGTGGTTCTGGATGGAGCAGATTTAGCAAAAACAAAACTTTTTATTGATTATAAATAGAAAATAAAGTTAATTTATGATAAGTTTAGGCTTGTTTCTGCTCTGGGTGACCGATGTTCCAGAAAATAGCCTTAGATTATACCCCACCCTCATTGTATCTATTGTCTACAGTCTATAGAAACATCCATCCAGTCAAAAACCATAAACTTCTTTTACACATTAAACAATAAATCTGATCATTGTATTTGTTAGAGTAAACAGCTTGAGGTTTTGGAATATTAAACTAATTCTGTTCTAAATCAGACATTAGAATCTAAATGTTCGTTAGGAAACGACTTTGGGTCACAGAATCCAACTGAAACCAACTTTACAGAAACTGAGTTTCAGTGAAGTTAGTTTTTCAGACTAATGAGAAGCATCAGCAGAGGAAGCGGCGCTCCGAGCAGAGACACTGACCCCGTACGAGGCGGCGTTATGCAGCGGGATCAGCCCCCCTTTGTCCTGAGCGTTGACGTCGGCGCCATGCTCCAGCAGATACTCCGCCACTTCCAGGTTGTTATAACCGGCTGATGGAAACAGAAACAAACATTTTTTTATTTTCCCTCTTTTAAGCTCAGAGCCCCGGAGCTGGGGGGGCGGATGCCGTCTGTACCTGCCAGGTGGAGTGGCGTGGAGTTGCGGCCCTGAGCGTCTCTACAGTTGATGTTCTCTGGGGAGCAGAGCTTCTGCACCCTGGCCAGGCAGCCCTTCTTGGCGGCGTCCAGCAGGGCGGCGTCCCCTCGCAGCAGGTCCTGGATGTCCGTGTCTCCGTCCTTCACCATGTCCAGAGGAATGTTGCCGTCTCGGTTCTTCTTGGTGGGGTCCGCTCCGTGCTGAAAAGCAGAATGTCAGAACGCGATGCTTCACTCTCCCCCATTACAATCCTCCTCGGTCGCCGTGACGACGCCTCACCTTGAGCAGCAGTTTGCAGATCTCATATTTCCCTTTGGCTGCGGCCTCATGAAGAGGAGTGAACTTCCAGAGGTCGGCCACGTTGACGGAGGCTCCGTGTCTGACCAGCAGCTCCGCCACTTCGTAGTGACCGTAGGAGCAGGCGTTATGGAGGGGAACCAGGCCTCTGGAGGACAGGGAACAATCAGACCACCTTAACATCTGGGTCACAACGCGGCTCGGCGCCACCTTAATAAGCACACCAACCCTTTGTCTTTGGCATGGACGTCAGCACCATGATGGAGCAGGTACTCCACCACTGCCACCCGGTTGTAACCCGCCGCAAAGTGCAGAGGGGTGGAGTGGCGGCCCTCCAGGTCCCTGCAGTTAACATTCTGAGGAGAGCAGAGTTGCTGCAAAGCAAAAAGGGGAAGAAAAGGTCAGAACGTCTCCATCCGATCACCTGAAGGTCCACCTGAGACGCCTTTTAAACATAAATGTTCCTGAGAAAATGTTTTATTTCTACAAATAAACAGGAAATAATCAGGAGATCGGCAGTAACGGTCTCTGATTGGTGCCTCTGCGGCGAGACCAACTGACCTGCACCGTGTCCAGGTCTCCTGCTTTGGCAGCTTCCAGGAACCTGTAGTCCACGTCAGAATTCCGAGTTGGAACGTTTTCTGGGAACAATGAAAGAACGACCCATTGATAAAAGGAAACGCCTCAAAATCTGAGCCCGGAAGTCGACCCAGAACCGGTGAAGCCCGTTCAGACCCGTGGAACCCCCCCAGTATCAGTGAAGCCCTTCCCAGAACCTCTCCTGTTGTTACCGTTCAGGATCTGCTGCACAGCCTCGTTCCCCATCTGAGCGGCGGTGAAGCCCTGCAGAGACACGATGGACGGGTCGGCGCCGTAGCTGAGCAGCAGCTTGCAGGTCTGGATGTGTCCGGCCAGCGCCGCCCGGTGTAGAGCCGTCTGTCCTAGAGTGTCCACCGCGTTCACCTGCAGGAAGTGAGAACTTTACTGATCCCCGTTTCTCCGCCTGAGGTTTGGGAGAACCGGGGCGGAGGAGAGCCCAACCTTAGCTCCGTGTTTCTGCAGAACCTCCAGGATGTCGTTGTGAGCTCGCTCAGCAGCCACGTGCAGGGGGGTCATGAAGCTAGACGGGTCAGAGACGAGAGGGTTAGCGCTCTCAGAGGAAGCTGGACGATGATCTGCAGCCATGCAGGGTCTTACTCTTTGTTCTTCTCGTTGATAGTGGCTCCTTTACGGAGCAGCAGCTCCGTCACCTGCTTCCTCTTGGGATGAGGGGACGCCACGGCGCAGTGCTGCAGCAGAACATCACAGCAGAACCTCAGAAAATGGGAGCAGCGCCCCGACAGAAACGCCGCCTTTTCCCCAACAACTCACCAGAGCCGTCTCATTGGTCTGAGGATGTTTGAAGCCGATGATCTCCAAAGCCAGAGTCTTCTTCACTTTGGCCATGTCGGCTTCACGCGCCGCCTGCAGCAGCGAGTGACCTTTGAACTCGTCTGTGTTTGGGCAGAGGGGGAGAGGAAGCCCTTAGATGTTTCAGTTCTAGATCTGTTCTGCTGATATTTACACTTTATCTTAATTACTGTTTAAAGAAAGCCAGCTGCTGTGGTTTCAGAGGAAAGGAGAAATAAAATATAGAAGGAAAAAAGAAGGTTTTTTTTTAACAGTAAATAAAACTTTTAGTAAAATAAATAAGCCTAGAAACGTTTAAAATCAAGAGATCCACTTTTATAAGCGCAGAGACCTCAGGAAGACTAAAGCAAAGTAGAAATGTAAACAAATAACCGACTAATGATCAGTTATATTTGCTCCATCTAATGAACTGATTACGTCTGCGAAGAAGGGATTTCTTTCCATGTTGTAAAGTTGCTGCCCCCCACTAGAGGGCCACGAAATTCTTAAGATCTTATTTTTTGCCTCAACAGTAAATTATTTGACCATATTTGAATAAAACAAGCAGATGATTTCTATGGATAAGGAATCAATGAGTGACTGTGTACATATTGCCAAAGCTTTTCATTGACCAACTAAAGGCTGCTGCTGCGTCACTGAACACATTCAGATCTCTTTAATTATTAGATTAATCATTTAGATTATTTGACTGTGGTTAAGCTAAGGGGGGATTTGGGATTGATGCACGTCAACCATTGATTTTGCATGTAAACTAGCTGCTCCTGCTGCTCCTGTGAACGCAGCATCAGGCGCTTAACGAGCAGCAGATTCTTTAGCTGCTGGACGCGCCACATCAACCAAT